TCATCAAAATGTCCATTCTCCCAAAAGCAATTTACAGATTCAATGCAATCCCAATGAAGATACCGAAGACCTTCTTCTCAGATCTGGAAAAAATGGTGCTGAAATTTATATGGAGGCACAAGAGACCTCGAATAGCTAAAGCAATCTTGTACAACAAAAACAAAGCTGGATGCATCACAATACCAGATTTCAGGACATACTACAGGGCAGTTGTAATTAAAACAGCATGGTACTGGTACAGAAACAGATGGATAGACCAATGGAACAGAATTGAAACACCAGAAATCAACCCAAACATCTACAGCCAACTTATATTTGATCAAGGATCTAAAACTAATTCCTGGAGCAAGGACAGTCTATTCAATAAATGGTGCTGGGAAAATTGGATTTCCACGTGCAGAAGCATGAAGCAAGACCCCTACCTTACACCTTACACAAAAATCCACTCAACATGCATTAAAGACCTAAATCTACGACCTGACACCATCAAGTTACTAGAGAACATTGGAGAAACCCTTCAAGATATTGGCACAGGCAAAGAATTTCTGGAAAAGACCCGGGAGGCACAGGCAGTCAAAGCCAAAATCAACTATTGGGATTGCATCAAATTGAGAAGTTTCTGTACTGCAAAAGAAACAGTCAGGAGAGTGAAGAGACAACCGACAGAATGGGAAAAAATATTTGCAAACTATGCAACAGATAAAGGGTTAATAACGAGAATCTACAAAGAGATCAAGAAACTCCACAAAAACAAAACCAACAACCCACTTAAGAGATGGGCCAAGGACCTCAATAGACATTTTTCAAAAGAGGAAATCCAAATGGCCAACAGGCACATGAAAAAATGTTCAAGGTCATTAGCAATCAGGTAAATGCAAATCAAAACCACAATGAGGTTTCACCTCACCCCGGTTAGAATGGCTCACATGCAGAAATCTACCAACAACAGATGCTGGCGAGGATGTGGGGAAAAAGGGACACTAACCCACTGTTGGTGGGAATGCAAGCTGGTCAAGCCACTATGGAAGTCAGTCTGGAGATTCCTCAGAAACCTGAAGATAACCCTACCGTTCGACCCAGCCATCCCACTCCTTGGAATTTACCCAAAGGAATTTAAATTGGCAAACAAAAAAGAGGTCTGCACCCTAATGTTTATTGCAGCTCAATTCACAATAGCTAAGACCTGGAACCAACCTAAATGCCCATCAACGATAGACTGGATAAAGAAATTATGGGATATGTACTCTTTAGAATACTATACCGCAGTAAGAAACAACGAAATCCAGTCATTTGCAACAAAACGGAGGAATCTGGAACACATCATGCTGAGTGCAATAAGCCAGTCCCAAAGGGACAAATACCATATGTTCTCCCTGATCGGTGACGACTGACTGAACACCAAGAGGGAAACCTGTTGGAGTGAGGTGGACACTATGGGAAATGGTGGCTTGATCAGCATAGCCCTGACTGTTAATGAACAACTTAATACATTATCCCTCTTAGTAGTTTTTTTTATCTGTTCTACTTAATATGACTGGTTTAGATCTGTAATTGATGCACAGTTATTCTTAAGTGTTGAAAATTAACTGAAATGTGATCCCTGTTGAACATGGTGGTGGGAATGGGAGAGGGAAGAGATGTATAATTTGGGACATGCTCAGGCTGACTTGCCCCAAGTGGTGGAGTTGGAAGCATACCAGGGGATTCCAATTCAATCCCATCGAGGTGGCATGTACCAATGCCATCTCACTGTTCCAGGTGATCAGTTTCAGTTCACAGTTGGTCATGGTGGAGGGACTGGGAGTCAAAGGGAACACATAGACAAGTCTAGTACCTGCTAATGCTAACCGATGGAGTAAATAAAGGGGAGAGTGATCCAACATGGGAAGTGAGATACTCAGCAGACTCATAGAATGGCAGATGTCCTAAATAGCACTCTGGCCTCAGAATCAGCCCTAAAGGCATTCGGAGCTGGCTGAAAAGCTCATGAGAGTATTTCAGGCATGGAAAGCCAAGACACTCTGGCAAAAGATCTCTGCGAGTGAGATCCCAGTGGAAAGAACAGGTCATCAAAGAAGGAGGTACCTTTCTCTGAAGGGAGGAGAGAACCTCCACTTTGACTATGACCTTGTCTAAACAAGATAAGAGTCGGAGAACTCAGAGGGCTTCCATAGCCTTGGAAACTCATGACTGGAGCATAGGGAGATTACTGATGCCATAGACAGGAGTGTCAATTGGTAAAGTCAACAACAGGAGTCACTGTGCACTTACTCCTCATGTAGGATCTCTGTCCTTAATGTGCTGTACATTGAGATTTAATGCTATAACGAGTACTCAAACAATATATTTCACTTTGTGTTTCTATGGGGGTGCAAACTGTTGAAATCCTTACTTAATGCATACTAAACTGATCCTCGGTAAAAAAAAAAAAAGAAAAGAAATTATCAATTCCCAACTTGACTCTCACTGGGATTAAACATGACAATAGGTCTGCTCTGATTTCATCATCATTTAAAAAAATCATCTATTATTTTTCACTTTATGTTTCTGTGTGGGAGCAAACTGTTGAAATCCATACTTAATGTATACTAAGCTGATCTTCTGTATATTAAGATAATCGAAAATGAATCATGATGTGAATGGAAGGGGAGAGGGAGTGGGAAAGGGGAGGGTTGTGGGTGGGCGGGACGGTATGGGGGGGAAGCCATTGTAATCCATAAGTCGTACTTTGGAAAATTATATGCATTAAATAAAAGTTTAAAAAAAAATTTCAAGAAAAAGTTACATAATCCCTTAGATTAGAATACTTAATCAAATTTAGTATCTAACCTTAAATAAGATGCTGTTAGAGTAGTACATCACAGCAACTTCATTATTCCAATTAAGATTACCTACTAGTGAGCCTATTAAAAACAGCATAATTGACACAGAACATTGAAATCTTTTTCTCTGGAAGCAGACCTAGACAAAGCTCTCCTGTCTCATTATTTCTCTTCAACATTGTACATGAGTTGTAAATTAATAAAAAGGAAATACTGGGTGAAAGGACCAACTTTTAAGCAACAAAACTATCAATATATGTGGATGATGTCACAACGGTAGACTGGATAAAGAAATTATGGGATATGTATTCTTTAGAATACTATACCGCAGTAAGAAACAACGAAATCCAGTCATTTGCAACAAAACGGAGGAATCTGGAACACATCATGCTGAGTGAAGTAAGCCAGTCCCAAAGGGACAAATACCATATGTTCTCCCTGATCAGTGACAACTGACTGAACACCAAAAAGGAAACCTCCTGAAGTGAAATGGACACTATGAGAAATGGTGACTTGATCAGCATAGCCCTGTTAATGAACAACTTAATACATTATCCCTCTTAGTATTTTTTTGTCTGTTCTACTTAATATGACTGGTTTAATTCTGTAATTATCACACAGTTATTCTTAAGTGTTGAAAATTAACTGAAATGTGATCCCTGTTAAATGTAAGAGTGGGAATAAGAGAGGGAAGAGATGTATAATTTGGGACATGCTCAAGCTGACTTGCCCCAAATGGTAGAGTTAGAAACATACCAGGGGATTCCAATTCAATCCCATCGAGGTGGCATGTACCAATGCCATCTCACTATTCCAAGTGATCAATTTCAGTTCACAATTGATCATAATGAAAGGACTAAGAGTCAAAGGGAGCACATAAACAAGTCTACTACCTGCTAACACTAACCAATAGAATAAAGGGGAGAGTGATCCAACATGGGAAGCGAGATACTCAGCAGACTCATAGAATGGCAGATGTCCTAAATAGCACTCTGGCCTCAGAATCAGCCCTAAAGGCATTCGGATCTGGCTGAAAAGCCCATGAGAGTATTTCAGGCATGGAAAGCCAAGACACTCTGGCAAAAAGATCTCTGTGAGTGAGATCCCAGTGGAAAGAACAGGTCATCAAAGAAGGAGGTACCTTTCTCTGAAGGGAGGAGAGAACCTCCACTTTGACTATGACCTTGTCTAAACAAGATAAGAGTCGGAGAACTCAGAGGGCTTCCATAGCCTTGGAAACTCATGACTGGAGCATACGGAGATTACTGATGCCATAGACAGGAGTGTCAATTTGGAAAGTCAACAACAGGAGTCACTGTGCACTTACTCCTCATGTAGGATCTCTGTCCTTAATGTGCTGTACATTGAGATTTAATGCTATAATGAGTACTCAAACAATATATTTCACTTTGTGTTTCTATGGGGGTGCAAACTGTTGAAAGCTTCACTTAATGCATACTAAACTGATCTTCTGTAAAAAAGAAAAAAGAAATTATCAACTCCCAACTTGACTCTCACTGGGATTAAACATGACAATAGGTCTGATCTGATTTCATCATCATTTAAAAAATCATCTATTATTTTTCACTTTATGTTTCTGTGTGGGAGCAAACTATTGAAATCCTTACTTAACGTATACTAAGCTGATCTTCTGTATATTAAGATAATCGAAAATGAATCTTGATGTGAATGGAAGGGGAGAGGGAGTGGGAAAGGGGAGGGTTGTGGGTGGGAGGGACGGTATGGGGGGAAGCCATTGTAATCCATAAATCGTACTTTGGAAATTTATATTCATTAAATAAAAGTTAAAAAAAATATATGTGGATGATGTCATTATCTACAGATAATCCAACATAATTCAGATATAACAGAAAATATTAACAAAATTAAACAATATTACTGGGTAGAAAGTCAGTATATGCCATCAACTGGTTTGCTATTCACCAGCAAGAAATAAACAGAAAACGATTTGAAGGACAAAACAGAGACTAACAAACACATCCCTGTAAGAGAAATGAAAGATGAAATAGTCCATGGGATATCTTTAACTACATTCAGACAAACATCTTTACATACCCTCAGATGAGCTAACAACAGCAAGCCAAGACTGCGGGAAAGGCACGCATTCAGCAAGCACCTTGTAAACTGCAGCTCTCAGGAAGCAAGCTTGGGCTCACAGGATCCAGCAGGACCGCAGACAGCTGAGGGCGCCCAGAAGCTGAGGTGCCCAGAGCAGGGACAGCGCCCCCTGCTGCCGGAGCACCCGGGCCGGAGAACACGGCGGCTTCAGTCTGAGCCCCACCTCCCCTGTTACCAGGCACCGCCCCAAGGAACCGCCCCAGCCTAGGGGATTCTGATTGGCTGCACCTTCTGTGACGTCGCGCGGCTGGCTGCGGCCACTGACCAATCAGGCACGTCAGGGCGACCCTGCGGAGCCCCGCGGGATCTTTCTTTGTGGCAGCGTTGGGAGGGGTCCCCGGGGCTGCTGCTGAGCGGGCTCAGGTGCCTCAGGGGCTGCGCTGTGTGACCTTCCTGCACCGCAGGAGCCGCCCGAGGACCCCAGAATGCCTCGGAAGCGAGGAAATGGTGAGTGTGGGGCCCACCGGGTGGGAGCTGCGCTGGTGGCCAGGACCCGGGCTTCTGCCCGTGAGGACTCCGCCCAGGGACCGCAGCCCCAGGTCTGCCCTGTTTGTGCAGTTAGGGCGGGCCGGTCCTCAGGGAGACTGTGGACTGCACTGTGGGGAGGAGCTGTGGTCTGCGGGTTCCTGCCCCTCTCTCTGCCCAGGGTGCCCGATTGCCCTGAGTTTCTAACTACACGGAGTCTCAGGTACACCGCCGGGTTCTCTCGGAGTAGCTCTTCCTGGGGCACCGAGTCCTTCTGCTGTTACCTGAGCACAGCGTCCCCCGCCGGGTGGGAGGTAGAAGCGGTTTATTTGGCTCAAGGTTTTGGTCCGAGGTTGAGCAGCATCTGGCGGTGTCCTTTTTTTTTTTTTTTTTTTTTTTGGCAGAGGCCTGAGATGGCATGGGGACAAATTCAGGAGGGAGAGAGAGGCTAATTAAAGTGGATTTCATGGGAGACCCCGCGGAGATCAGCCATTAACCCATTAATCACGTGAGTGGATTTATCCTAGCCACCTCTTATGAAGTCTGACCTGGACCCCCCGCCCCTTTTAAGATTCATTTATTTATTTTAAAGTCTGAGTTACGCACAGAGAAGAGGAGAAGCAGAGAGAGAGAGAGCGAGAGCAAGAGGGAGAGCTAGAGCGAGAGCGAGAGCGAGAGAGAGAGAGGTGTCTCTATTCACTGATTCACTCCCCATGTGGCCACAACCCGCTGGGCTGATCCGAAGCCAGGAGCCAGGAGATTCCTCTGGGTCTCTTACTCCCATGCAGAGGTCCAAAGACTTGGGCCATCCTCTACTGCTTTACCAGGCCATAAGAGAGAGCTGGATTGGTGCCCATGTAGGATGCTGGCACCACAGGTGGCAGCTTTACCTACTAGGCCACAGCACTGGTCCTTGGACCCACTTTTTAATATCTCACAATTGGGGTTAAATTTCCTCATGAGTTTCAGAGGGGACAAATCATTTCCAATCCAGAGCACTGAGTCTGGCAACAAACCCATAAACGTGCAGAGATCTCCCCAAGTAGCCAGATGCCAACTTCTACCCTGAAACTTACAGCATTATGAAGCATTTTCTCCCATGGAAAATCAATATTTCAAAGGTTTGTTTTCTGTTTGTAAATGTTTTCCATGAGAGGAAAGGAGGTAACATCTACTTGATACTCTAATATAAAATTTTTATGCTGAGATGGATGATTGGTGTAGTAGTTAAATTGTTTGGGATGTCTACATTTCATATCAGAGAGTAGCTGAGTTTGAACCTTGCTCTTCCAATTCCATATTCTTGCTGGTGCACATCATGGGAGGCAGTAGGTGATCGTAGTAGGCGATGTTTAGTAAGTACATGGGTTCCTGCAATCTGCATGGAAACACAGATTGAGATCTTAGGTTTCTGGCTTCAGCCTGGCCCAGTCTTAGATGTAGTAGGCATTTGGTGAGTGAACTACTGGGTGGATAATCTCTCTTTCAATCTCTCTCTCTCTCTCTCCCTTTCTCTCTCTCTCTCTCTTTAACAAATTGATTATTTTTAAAACAACTTTTTAAAAGTTGGGAGCTGGGAACTAAATCCTGGTCTCCAAATGGCTTAAGGTTCCCAATCACTTGAGCCGTTGCCTGCTGGATGTGTCCCCAGTGTTTCCACTAGCAGGAAGCTTGAATTCAACCAGCAGTGGAAATGGCACTCAAACCCTGGCACTACGTGATCTGGGTGTCCCCAGCAGCATGTTGAGCACTAGGCCAACTGCCCCCACCTCCTACTTTCTTTTAGAGGTGCTAAAATGTTCTAAATTGGCAGCAGAGATGGCTACCAAGAACTGGAAAGGAATGAATTGTATGTATATTTTTAGTTCATGAATTCCATGATAAGTGAGCTGTATTCATGACTCAATTATACTACATAAGAAAGTTATATGATTTCTGATATTTTTAAAAGTATATATTGGATTAATTTGGAGTTTTATGTAATATTTAATATTGTAGTATTCCAAACTCAAATCCACATGAAATCTGTCTTCCCTTCACTGCATATTTCTATAGACATGTGGATATAAATACAAGAGAAAAGTGATAGGAGGATGTAAACTGTACATCACAATGATTGATTCAGGACAGGGGTTGTGAGGAAAGGCAATATTAATTTTATCTGAATATCTGTTTAAAGAATATGTTTGTGAAATAAATAAATACAAACCAAACATGGCCAGACAGCACAGGTACATGACTAAATATTTTTAGTAGCAGTAATCAGAAAAAATCATTCTTAGCTCTTAATCTTTGTTGGATTCTGCATTTGTCAATCCTGCTCCCTGATTGTCAGTCCCTGTATCTTCATAACAGGACTATTCATTTTTCTGCATTCATGAAAAGATAAATCCTCCAAATTGTGAAGCCCAGTCAACACATGGAGTATACAGTTTGGACACAGAGAAAGTGAGTGCATATGACAACAAACTAGCAGTTAGCATGGTCTCCCTACTTTCTCTCTTCTCAGAAATCCTCCCAGAATCCACACCTCCAATCCTAGTATGAGCAGCTCCTGGTGGCAGAGGTGTATGACCACGTAAATAGGAGGAACCATTCCTAGGAAAGGACATAGGACCAAATGCTCTTTGGTACAGGCTAGCTCTTTGATACCTGCAAGTTCATTTTCTATTTCAAGGAGTATAACTTGAGCTCTATATATTCATGGCACAGTTGCTTCTCTGTTCTGAGGTGCAGGGGCCTAGGCTTCGAAGTTTGAGACGCCTTCCTTAATTTGTGGAATAAAGTCACTGCGGAGCAAGGGCAGAATCAGAGAAGCCACAGGAATTTGAACAGTGCAAATGATCTCTTAGGTATAGAGGAAACCATGGGTAGGTTGTTAACCAAGAGTTAGCACATCATGCTCCCACTCAGGAACATATCAGCCCTGACCACAGGAGCCATGCCCATCTCTATTTGGAGAAGAGCTTCTTTAGTAGTGGGAGATCCATGAAATTCTGTTTGACCTCCTTGCCTAGTGGGTGGCACAAAGCAGCAAATGTCAGGGAAGGTTGAGGTCCTGTTCTCAAAAGGGTAAGGGAGGATTTGTGACATAGATGAACAGATGGATTTCAGGAGTTCCCAGGGAAGTAGCTACCAGACATTGTAATTTTTGTATTTGTGCAATCAATTTGGGAGGCACGTGTCTTGGGACCCAGTATCTTATTCCAGTGTATGCGATAGAAGAGTTTTCCCAACTCTCGAATATGATCCATGGAAGATTCACAAGTTACTTTAATAGATTAGAGCAAGCATCTTTTTATTTTTTTAAAAAAAATTCTAAGCCTTTATTGCATATTAATAAAACAAATCTTTGCATATACAGCAATGTAAAATTTTAAAAACTATTACATTCTTGTAACTAGTACAGTTAATTTGAAGGAGGAATGGTGAGCACTGGTATAGAACACACTGCAACAAAACACAGGATTTATTATTCTTCAAACCACCAATAGTAAAAATGTAAAAGGTGGTACAATCTGAGTGGGCAATCTCATACGGAGATGAGATTTAAATGCAACATTTGACAGCTATGTAAATGTGCTCCTGAAGCAGCCTGTGGATTTTACCTTTAGTTTTTAGCTTAGTGTGATCCTCACTTTGTGATATCTAACTCTGACCCTTTTCCAGAACTGTTCACCTTTCTCTCAATTTGTTTTGTCATGGTCATCATTTTTAGCTTTTTTTGGTTTCTTGTCTACATTTCTTACCATCTCTGCTAAGCAAGCATCTTTTTAAAGGTTAGATATGAGTTGCCATAGTAAGATCAGTTTCTTGTTCAAATATCTTAAAGTAAAATACTCATTGCAATTTTCCCCATGCTTTATGGAAGATCTGTAATAAAAACACATATAGAACATATATGTTCTAAAAATACAGTACAATTGTCTGAACTAAAAATTAAAATAAATATAATGACAGTGATCACCACTGTCCACAGTATAATTTCTCTATTCCTCACACATTCCTTTAAAATGTAAGCTTGTGAATCCATAAATTACTCACCAGTATTCTACATGGTTGGCAGATAGAAGCCAATTCTGATGCATCACATCTGGTCTCAAGGGAGCAGGGCTGAGTGCCCAGGAAATAGACACATCATTTTCTTATTTCTTTGAGAAGGGGTGCAGAGTCCTAGGGGACATGAAGTCGCTCCATCCCATGACAGCACCAGCACAGATCCTTGGGAAGGGATTTTTCAGGTCTTTCTCAGCGTGGGTCATGTTGCTCACTCCCGTCCTCTTCTTCCCTGAAATTCTAGGCCCTGCAATTGTCCTGATGCTGATTCAAAGGCACTGAATGTATTCTGTGTTCCTGAAGGTAAGTGCCAGAGGGAAAGATGCGGCCCACAGACCATGGGGGTCTCTGGGGAGTGGAACATGTGTTTTCCTCTTTTTAGGAACAGAAGCATCGGTGGTTCTCATGTGGGTGAGGCCTGATAGAGAGTTGCTTGCCACAGCTCTGGGCTTGTGGGGAACAGCACAGTCATTAGAACCTTAGCTCTGAGGGTGAGGAAGCCCACCACGGTCTGAGCTTCCAGTGATTACTCTGCTGGAGGTAGGTGCTTTAATAGAAGGCCTGTGTTCTTGCATCATGCACAATCTGATTTCACATGTTCCACAAATGATGTGGTCAATCCAAGATGGCAGTGGAACAAGGAGTAAATGCAAGTTGTATGAGCCAGGAGGTCTTTGGTGTGAGTCTAGTTCCAGCTCAGCCACGAGAGGATCTTGTTACTGACCTGTATGGCATTGGTTTATCTTCCTGTAACTTGAAGGCATCCCCAGTACCAGTGACATAGCCCTGATCTCCAGAGAAATCATTGTGCACATATGTACAGACTGTTTACAACAGTGTAGTTGTATTTGTGAGATTTGTTGCGTCTCCTCAAAGTGAAACTTCCTGCCCCCTGCTGTACCTGTGTATCCTGCCCATAATTTAGTTGTATGGGTTTGTAGACACACAAATTCTAGTTTCCAAGAATGTTGGATCTCTAAGGGAAATTAGAGTGCTGAAGGATGGTCCAATTTTCTTTAGAAAAAAGTGGTTTGCTGTAAGGAAGAATGATTTCATGAATAGAAATCCACCTGAAAGGATAACCCTTTGGTGCACACCTGCTTAATGCTTCACAGGCAAACAAATGAATCCCTTTTAAAGGAGAAGATTCTAGCATGGTATGGCTGAGGCAACTATAGATCCTACTGCCCAGAAAGAGATTTGAGTGATGCTATCTTAGCTCATGCATAAGCTACTACAGACTGGGTGACATTGGAAAGTTTGTATGATCTATGAGAAGCAATGGTCTAGGAAATATTTCTTATTGGAAGGGTCTTGAAGGTGTTGCCTGCAGTGGAGGGGGTAATTTGTCCTATCTGAGAGTCTATCTATATTGCCCCAACCCCATTCCCAGTACTTCATTCTGCTTCCATTATTTGCAGAGTTGGAGCTCTCTGAAGCCTAGTCTGTAACCACCATTGGTATAGAGATGTGATGATGCCCCCTCTTCCTGTCAGGACAGGGGAGGTGATAAAGATCTGTCTGCCTGATAAGCGAGATGGAACAAAGGAGATTTTTAGGAGATAAGTGAGTGGACTAGTGTCACATGATTTGTGGATATCAGGCTCTCTTAGTTTTGAGCAGTGTTGTCTGTCTTGCTGCAGCTAGTTCAATACTCAAGTTTAGTTTTGAGATTGATTTTAGGAGTCACAGTCAATCTAGAACTGTTTAGAGACTTTGGCTTGACCATGGATGTCCTTATCCTTTCTCCCCATACTGTTTATGGATTGTGTGAGCCCCAAAGGTTTGTAACACAAGTTTTTCTCACTTAATTCTAGTTATCAATGGTTGATAGTCATAAATTCTATAGACATTTAATATTAAACTTTTTTCAAATGTTTAAAATGGCAATCAATCACTTTATTGTTTTGATAAATACAAATGAAATGACATACAATGCAAAATACATGTAAAAATTGAAGAATAGTCTTTTTAAAAATTAACATTTATTTGAAAGGCAGAGTTACAGAGAGGCAGAGAGAGAGAGGTCTTTCATCCACAAGTTCAGTTCCCAGATGGCCACAGGCCAGAGCTGTGTTGATCCAAATCCAGGAGCCAGGAACTTCTTCCAGGTCTCCCATGTAGGGGCAGGGGCGCAAGGACTTGGGCCACTTTCTTTTGCTTTCCCAGGCACTAGCAGAGACCTGGATCAGAAGTGGAGCAGCCGGGACTTGAACCAGTGCTCATATAGGATGCTGGCAATGCAGAGGGCAGCTTTACCTGCTTTGCCACAGTGCCAGCCCCTGAAGCATAGTCTATGATCTCCAGACTGTCATGTGGCAGTGACCTTGCTGATATCCCTCTGGTTGGTGTGGCTCATGCTCATGAATATATCTGTGTGATCATGAAATTCTAATCATTGTATTTGGCGTGTAATTCAGTTTTTTTCTCACCAATACATAACAGCATTAGATTTTCAACAAGTCCACAAAAAACTTTCTTTTTTTTTTTTTTTTCTTTTCTTTTTTTTTTTTTTTTTTTTGACAGGCAGAGTGGACAGTGAGAGAGAGAGACAGAGAGAAAGGTCTTCCTTTGCCGTTGGTTCACCCTCCAATGGCCGCCGCGGCCGGTGCGCTGCGGCCGGCGCACCGCGCTGATCCGATGGCAGGAGCCAGGAGCCAGGTGCTTTTCCTGGTCTCCCATGGGGTGCAGGGCCCAAGCACCTGGGCCATCCTCCACTGCACTCCCTGGCCACAGCAGAGGGCTGGCCTGGAAGAGGGGCAACCGGGACAGAATCCGGCACCCCGACCGGGACTAGAACCCGGTGTGCCGGCGCCGCTAGGCGGAGGATTAGCCTAGTGAGCCGCGGCGCCGGCTCACAAAAAACTTTCAAATTTAAAGTATAACCACTATATTTATAATCGTATTCAACATTTTAAGGTGGGCTCAGGTAGGTAATTCCTGTTGTGGTGTTGCCTGGGATCACAAATGAGGGTTAATACATGTGCTGTCGAAGTGAGCACACATATGAGGGTTAAGTCATCTGGGGCCTGTACTGGTGCTGGCGCCTTGCAGATGGCTTCACTCATGTGTCTGGTGGTTGGCACTATATCTCAGCTGGGTCCTGTGTCTTCCACAGGGAACTCCCAGGCTTCTTCATAAGGTAATTATGTCCAGTAAAACAAACCCCAGCAAGCAGCTAAATTTTAAAACTTTGTCGCGCAGCTGGTGCTTTGGTGTAGTGGGTAACAACTCCACCTGCAGTGCCAGCATCCCATTTGGGGTCCAGCTCAAGTCTTGGCTGCTCCACTTCCAATCCAGCTTCCTGCTGCTTCTCTTCCAGTCCAGCTCTCTGCTGTGGCCCAGGAGGGCAGTGGAGGATGGCCCAAATTGCTTGGGTCCCTGCACCCACATGAGAGACCAGGAAGAAGCACCTGGCTACTGGCTTCGGATCGGCATAGCGCCATCCCTAGCAGTGATTTTGAGAGTGAATCAATGGAAGGAAGACCTTTCTCTCTGTCTCTCCCTGTCTATAGCTCTACCTGTGAAATAAATTAAAAAAAAAAAAAACTTATTTGAAAGAGAGGGTTATAGAGAAAGGTTTTGGGGAAGAGAGAGAGTTTCTATCCCCAGATTCACTATTTAAATGGCCACAATGGCTACGGTTAGGTCAGACTAAAGCCAGGAGTCTGGAACTGCATCCAGGTCCCCCAGATGAGTGGCAGGGGTGCAAATATGTGGGCCATCTTCTGCTGCTTTCCTAGGTGGATTAGCAGAGAGCTGGACTGGAAGTGGACCACCCATGATATGACCCTGTTCCCACATTTGTTGTCAGCATGTTAGGCAGCAGATTAATCAGCAGCAAAATGCAAGCCCTAAGGGGATTTATTAATTAAAATGAAATCATAATAATATATAATGTAGCATCAGATAATATACATAAACAAGGTAAAATTTTCATGCTTATGACATTAGAGCTATCTAATGTGGGTGCAACTTGGTCTCTGTTCTTTCTGATGCCATATAAAAAAAAGACATTTTGTCCAGCTGCTCCTCTTCTGAATCCAGCTCTCTACTTAATGGCCTAGGAAAGCAGTGGAAAATGGCCCCAATCATTGGTGTGCCGGCCTGCGGCACGACGAACTGGGTCTTCCTGAAACAGAGAGTGGGAATGCGGGGACAAGGACGCAAAGAATGGAGCCAAGACAAGTCCTGATCAAGGCTCGTTTATTGAATAAATGCAGTAGTATTTAAACATGACCAGTTGTTTACAAGGAGGAGCACAAAAGATTTACATATCAAAACGGCTCTTAAGGTTACAATAAAAACACTTAGGTGATAAATGAAGGTTACAGGTGTGGCTGATTATTTGTATCATCTCTTGTGAAAGGTTTAGGTTCCTCCTGCCTTTTCCCGGAATCTCCCCTAGCCTAATTGTCTGTGCCGGGGAAGTCTCCATTCATATGTTTAAGTGTAAACAAAGGGAGCGATTATCTGTGGCTGCCCACATTTCCCCCTTTTTTATTTTTTGAGGCATTGTTCCTGTCTTAGGTTGCCCGTGTCTCTTCTTGTCCTTACCCGTCATTGGATACCCCAGACATTCTCTGAGGCTCCTGTCTTAGGTTGGTACAAGGAGACCGAGTCTTACCCGTCATTGGAATTCAATGCCATCTTTTTTTGGCTCGGGGGGTAAAGCTTGTGGACGCAACTTTAAAATCTCAGACCAAATGGCAGCAAATGTCACAGAGAGGCATTGGAATATACAAGGAAGGCACAGATAAAAGGGCAGGAGACAGAGAAGGAGGAATTGACCATAAGAGTTACTTTAACAGTTTTGACCAATACATCAACGAGGCCTCTTTTCCAGATTTGATAAAGTATACCGGAGTCTGTCAAGGTGACCAGTTTTGATACGGTAAAGTCAGTATTCTCCCTTTTCGATTGATCAGTCATATTAAGCCGTTGATTTTCAACTTTATCTCTCCCAATACGGAATAAGTTTTGATTGTTCCTTACCCATAGTACGAATTCTGTTGTTTTAATTCCGTTATCATAAGTGCATGAACAATTTTGAACTACTGGTGCGCACCAAGAGTCCATGGCCTAGGCTTAGTTTGATGTGAGCCGGCAAGCTTCATTCATCTTCAGGGGGATCCCGATCATCAATGTTATCATAATGAAGATGGAGGGGTTGCTTCGTGACATTGTCTGTTTGCCGCACAAGTCGCTCAGGTAACCATCGTACTTCATTGTCTTTTTGCGAGAAAATAGAAACATGTCCACGTCCCCATATTAAAACAGGGTCAGGTCCATACCATTGAGCAGTTAGAGGGTCTTTCCACTTCACATAGACTTGTTGTCTTTTGGTTTCAGGATGCCAGTGACGATCAGCTGCAGTTTTCCCTTGATTATCCAATATTAAAAAATTTAAGATGAAAAGAGCATGTGATAGCCATTTTTGTGGGGAATGTGCCATGGTCCCGTATTCCCCCTTTTTTATTTTTTGTAAATAATTTTTTAATGTGGCATGTGCACGTTCCACAATACCTTGTCCCTGGGGATTATAAGGAATCCCGGTGATATGAGAGATGTGGAAGTTAGCACAGAAGCGCTTAAAAGAGTTGGAAGTATATGCTGGGCCATTATCAGTTTTTATCTGTATGGGGGTTCCTAGAACAGCAAAGGTCTGAAGGCAATGAGAGATGACATGTTTGGCAGCCTCGCCGGATTGTGGGGTGGCAAAAACAAAACCTGAGCATGTATCTAAAGAAACATGTATGTATTTTAGTACCAAATTCAGGAAAATGGGTAACATCCATCTGCCAAAGCTGATTAGGCGTAAAACCTCTAGGATTCACACCATAATGAGGGACTGGGAGAAATGTGACACAGGAAGGGCAGGATTTTACAATTTGCCTTGCCTGTTCCCGGGTGATTCCATATCTTAATCGTAAGGTTTGGGCATTAAGGTGATGCAAATCATGACCATGGGATGCTGCTTCTATAGAATAGACGCGTAAAATATTGTCAGCAAGTCTATTGCCATCATGTAAAGGACCAGGCAGGTCAGAGTGGGCACGAACGTGGCCAATGTAGAACGGCTGCGTCCGCTCACGGATTAAGGATTGAATATGAATAAATAGTGGGGTAGCCTGAGAAACAGAGGAAAATATAGAACAAGTCTCCAATAGTGGTACAGAATAGAAAACATATTTACTATCAGTATAAATATTAACGGGAGTATGCGCTGTAATCTGCAATGCCATGGCAACAGCAGCCAATTCTACCAGTTGTGGAGAAGAAAAAGGAGTAGAGAAGGAAATAGTACGTTTGTCATAAACAATAGCAGCCTTTCCTTGTTTAGATCCGTCAGTGAAAACGAGAGAGGCTGAAGGCAGGGGGTTGAACCTAGTGACCTTAGGAAAAATGCAAGCATGAGATTGAAAGAATTGTACAAGCTTGTTAGCAGGATAAGAATTTGAGGTCTGGCCAGAGTAATGAGCCAGGGCCAGTGGCCAGTCATCAGTAAAGGAGAGAAGCCAAGAAACCTGTTGACCAGTATAAGGAAGACATATAACATTAGGTTCAGATCCAAAATTTTTTCTGGACTCTAATCGTCCCTTAGAGATCAATTTAGCAACAGCCAAATAATAAGGAACAATTGATTTTTTAGAGGAATTATTTAAGTGAATCCAAAGCAGGGGAGCACCCTGCCAGAACAAACCCGTAGGTGAATAAGCAGTTGCTAATACTAAATAATACAAGGGCTTACTATAATCAAGGTAAGTAAGGAAATTTCTTTGTAAAGCATCTTGAACCTTTTGTAAAGCTAGTCGTGCCTCAGGAGTAAGTTCCCTGGGGGAAGTAGGATCGGGATCCCCCTTTAAGATATCAAAAAGCGGTTTTAAATCTCCAGTTGTTAAATGTAGGGTAGGCCGAATCCAATTTATATCCCCTAATAGTTTCTGAAAATCGTTTAAGGTTTTTAGGGTGTCTAATCGTAGAGTCACCTTCTGTGGGACAATTTTTCTAGGATACAGTTGATAACCAAGATAGTGATACGGATGATGCAATTGCACTTTATCTGGTGCTACTTGTAAACCATACTTATGTAATTGTTCCTTCATAATTGATAAACACAGGTGTATTTCAGATTCTTTTAGTCCAGCAAGCAATATATCGTCCATGTAATGAATTATGTAAAGAGAAGGGAATTGAGTTCGGACACTAGAAATCGCTGAAGAAACGAACTGTTGGCACAGGGTGGGGCTGTTGGCCATACCTTGGGGGAGGACTCGCCAGTGATACCTTCTCATAGGTTCTTTGAAATTAACGGAAGGCACACTGAAAGCAAATCGGCAACAATCGGCAGGATGGAGGGGGATCGAATAGAAACAATCTTTTAAATCAATGACAGCAATATATGAATTCTTTGGAATGGCTGAAGGGTTTGGTAACCCAGGCTGCAAAGGCCCCATAAGTTGCATAGTGGCATTAACCTTTCGGAGATCCTGCAGGAGTCTCCACTTTCCTGATTTTTTTCTGATCACAAAAATGGGGCTATTCCAGGGGGAAGTGGACGGGACAATATGTCCTGCCCGCAACTGTTCTTCAACCAGGGCTCGAGCAGCTACTATTTTTTCCTGCGTTAAAGGCCACTGCTCCGTCCATACAGGTTCATCAGTTAGCCAATGAATTTTGTCAGCATGGATGGCAGGTTGAGCAGTGGCCACTAAGGTTTTTTATATTTGAAAGTTGGCTATCAGGCACCTCATGAGTAGGCCCAAAAGGCTTTATTTCATTGGGGCTACACAGTATTGCTCCTAATTGGGATAGGATGTCTCGTCCCCATAGATTGGTAGGCAAGCCCTTTAAAATATAAGGTTTAAAAATTCCGGTATGGCCAGCATCATCCTGCCATTTGATGAACTCGGCACTCTGTTCTAAGTCCTGACTCTGTCCTATCCCTCTCAGCTGAGTCATAGATGAATGCTTTTTCCAGTTTAATGGCCAATTGTTAGAGGCAATAACTGATACATCAGCTCCTGTGTCTAATAATCCTTTAAAGTTTTTTCCATTCAATTTCAATGCAATAATGGGGCGATCTTTTGTGATAGGCTCCAGCCAGAAAACATCTGAGGACCCAAAGCCTTTATTGCCCCTATAGGTAGCCTTATAGTTAGAATTATAGCTTAAGGGAAGCAAAATCAATTGTGCGATCCGTTGTCCTGGGGAAAGTGTTATTACAACATTATTAGCTTGGGCCATGATTTTTATCTCCCCCGAATAATCATTGTCAATGACACCAGGAAAAACCTGTAAACCTTTCATTGTTAAGCTACTGCGTCCCAAGAGTAATGCAAACATGCCCGGTGGTAGAGGCCCAAAAATTCCAGTAGGGAGGGCCTGTGGTCCCATATCCGGGGTTAATATCGTGTGCGTAGAGACGCTGAGGTCCAATCCGGCACTCCCTGGGGTTGCTCTCCAGAGGGTGCTAATGTCCCCTACTGGGGTTGTTGGGGGAGGAAAGTCATGGCCCCATGGATTTGTTGCGGGGCCTGGGGCTGGCCCCTCCTCTCGTTTCCCGAAATATTATTAACTAAGGAATTTCCATCTTTATCTGTCCTTGAATGGCATTCTTTTGCCCAATGCCTTCCCCGTTTACATTTGGGACATAAAGAAGGGGGAATGCTCCTATTTTTATTGTTACCTGAAGTATCGTTTTGTGGGCAGTTCTTTCGCAAATGACCTCTATTTCCACATTTGAAACATTCCTTCTTATTCATTTCTGCCCTTTGAGCTGACTCTTTTAAGGAAATTCCTTGTAAAGCCGCAGCCATAGCCAAACCCTTTGAATAAGAGGGGCCAATATCTGCACATATCTTAATATATCCATCCAAATCAGTTTTCTTTCAGTAAGGACGAAGTGCCTGCTGACAGGGAGTGTTAGCATTTTCAAATGCTAATTGAGTGACAAAAGGTATACCAGCCTCAGGGTCTCCGAATACCCTCCCTGCTATCTGTATTAATCTATTAACAAAATCAGCATAAGGCTCATCTGGTCCTTGAATAGTCTTAGACAAGGACTCACCAATTTTTGCTCCTTTAGATGGCAATATATTCCAAGCACGCCTGGCCGCAGCAGCAGTTTGTTGGAAAACTGCGATGGGTTGAACCATTTGTCTTTTAAGGTCTTCGAATTCACCTTCTCCCGACAGCATATCAGCATTCCAATCCGGATTTCCCCCCTGGATATTTAACTTAGCGGTGCGGCGGCATTGGTCAACAAACTCTGCTTTCCATAATAAAAAATCGCCTCCAGAGAGGCAAGCTTGAGCTATTGTTTTCCAATCAACTGGTGCTAGAGTAGTTTGAGACAGACTATCCAACAGAGTTTTCGTATAGGGAGCAGTAGGCCCATATGCATCACAAGCAGATTTTAAATCTTTTAATATTTTAAAAGGCACTGGATGGTGACAGCGCATTTCCTGGCCGTCTTCTGTATATATTTCCACTGGAAAAGCATCAAAAAAGATTTCGGCTCCCTCCCTGCCTTGCTCTGCGGCTTCCCTAAGAGTCTGGGCAACACTCTTTTCAGGATATATGATGCTCTTTATTTTAGTTTGGCAAATATTCCCCTTTTTTAGAAAGTAATAATCTTTATCACCATTATCTTTTTTAAAGGATTCAAAAGGAGGAGCGGAGGGAACAACCTTTTCCATGGAAATAGTGGATCGGCAGGATCGATTATCCTCACCATCACTGCTTCTAGCTTCCTCAATTTTCTCATGTAGGAAGTCAAGAGCTCCTCTCAGCAAGGTTTTATCTCTTTGTTGATTTAAGGTATCCTTTACTAATGACCATAGGGAGAAAGTTAACAAGGGTAATGAGTCAGCTCCATGTTCTTGTAAATAAGAATTAAGTTCTTCTCCAAGTTCCTCCCAATGTGCCTCATCTACAAGGCCTTCTTCAATAAACCAAGGACATACAATCTCTATGGTTTCTATAAATTGCTCTATTACTTTCTTTTTTAACCCGATTCCTTGCGTCTGCAATAATGCCTTCACTGCCTTTACTACTGGGGGTTTTCCCGATGCTTGTCCCATAATGCCTGCTCAAAATAAATCTCCACAATTTTGGTGTCGGGTACTCACCACAAATTGTATACCTCTATAGTCGCGACTCCGTGAATCCAGGTTCCTCACTGCTTCTCTAATTCTCAGGTCCCTGTTCGGGCGCCATTTGTGCCGGCCTGCGGCACGACGAACTGGGTCTTCCTGAAACAGAGAGTGGGAATGCGGGGACAAGGACGCAAAGAATGGAGCCAAGACATGTCCTGATCAAGGCTCGTTTATTGAATAAATGCAGTAGTATTTAAACATGACCAGTTGTTTACAAGGAGGAGCACAAAAGATTTACATA